CCCTCGTTCCCCGTAAATGGGGGAAACCTCCAAAAAAATTACAAATTTAAAAATCGCTAATTTTCGAAATTTTTTCAATTTTTTTTACTTAAAAGTGCCATAACTTTTTCAAAAATAAATATATCAATATAATTCTTTTTTATATAGATGCATAATATCATTACCTTTCATTTGGTATATTTTTTTCGTAAATTTAACCCTTAACCTGCCCACGAGGGGCGATATAAAATGACAACTTTTTCACAAAAAATTAACTTTATCAACTTAAATTTTGAAAGTGTTCCGGAAAGTCTGACACTTTTATATATATATTAAATTAAAGCTAATGTAATCTACTTTATTATGTAAAATAAAAATTTCGGACTTTATTTTATCTTCATGGTGAAAACAGACATTAAACTTAATAAAAAAAATACGATTTTTGTAAAAAAATTCTTTTTTATATTTTTAANTTAACTTTATTATGCTATAACTTTTTGATAAATGTATAGATCAGTACAATTTTTACATGAGAAGTAGTATTTATATACATCTTTCATTTGACATACTGTTTTTTTAAATTGGACCATTTCCCTATATAAGAGGGGGGTTCAAATCTAAAAAATTCATGTAGAAAGTAGAACTTTTTCAACTTAAATTTTGAAAGTGTTCCGGAAAGTCTGACACTTTTATATATATCTTAAATTAAAGCTAATGTAATTTACTTTATTATGCGAAAAAAAAATTTCGGACTTTATTTTATCTTCACGGTGAAAATGGCTACCAAATGCTATTGTTGTGTGAAAATTCTCGATTTTATTTTTTACATTTTTAACTTTATAATGCTATGACATTTGAAAAGTGTATGGAACAACATTATTTTTTTATGAGAAATAATATTTTTTAATAATCCTTTTTTCATTCGACATACTTTATCTTAATTAGGATATTAATAATGAACTAGCAGATCATGTAGCTTTTGGAATAATCCACCAATTTTTTAAAATTAAACACTATCTAAAGATTTGCATCGAAGCCTTTTTTTTTTGATAGTGATTTTAATCACTGTCAGATATCATTATACTATATCCATCTATACCATGTCACCACTGTGCCGCGACCCCCCTGTGCTGGGTTTTTTTTGTTTTGATATTATGTTAGTTATTTTTATATTTTATGTTTGGTTTATTAAGTAAACACACAATTTTTATGTATGCACGATAATTTTTTTTCGGACCATTTTTTGTAAAGATGTTTAACTTCAAAAAAAAATTTAGTGCAATATTTTTGTAGTGTTAATTAACATATTTCTCAATTATTAATCAACTTCGCACTGTCACTCTTAATATATTTAATCTATGTCCCTTTAAATTAGTTTTATAAAATATCAACTTTGAAAAATGTATATTTTGTTATTACTACAAGTTATAGTTGTTAAGGATATGCACAAGAACTGCCATGCACTCGGACCTTTAAGTTATTATTTTTTTATACTTAAAGTTATTAATTATGCGTACCACCTACTGAATTATATTAATTTGGTTTGGTTAGGTTTTAGGTCTTTGATATCTTCGTTTTCGGTAAAAAATTTCTCTAAATATTTACATCTTAATATTACTAGGGTGTTAAGTATCACATAGTATGATACGAATTTTCCTCTTACGTTCCACACTTCCTGCTTAATGGCGATTTCGTCAGCCATACTGTGCAGAAATGATTAAGCAGATAATTTTAGTGATGACAGTAGTCCAGCCATAGTGCTAATTTGATGTCTAGTCATGTTAAGTAAAATTAAAACTATATTAAAAATATTATTAATTTAAAAAACTAAAAATTATTAAAAATATTAAACTCAAAGCCACAAAAAATTAATGAAAAGTCGCGTTTAATATTTNATTAATGAAAAGTCGGAGATACGTATTTCGGAAACAATGTTATCATTATCAACGCTAAACACATACTGACACCCCGACTAGAAAAAACTCCCTTATATACCCCNTTAATTAATTAGCCACAAGTGATCAATTTTTATTATATCTAGTCATGTTATTAAGTAGTAGATAGTAATAGACTGGAAGTCTTTATAAACATTTTTCATTGTTCAACTACAAGGTAACTCCATATTTTCTGTGCTGTTATCTATACTAGTTTTTAGGTAGCACTTTGAGGGATTGCTCTGTAAGTCCTACCACTGGTTCTAGTCCAACATAGATATTTTCTGCACCTTTACTTGCTGAACAGTCTGTTATTTCATTACCAGTCACATCGCTATTTTCGTTATGCTAGTGTATTAACTTTATTGAAACTTGCTAGATACTATAAAATTTCCCTTCATTCAAGGGCTAGCCTAGAGTTACTTGGTTATAACTAAATTCCAGGTTTTAAATAACAGGTCATAGTTCCCTACTAGTATTTGCGAATATCGATATCATAAAAAACCAATTAGCTACTTGTATTTTTAATCCCTCGTGTATTATTATTTGTATATTAACTCAAAAGTTTGAAACTATATCTTATAAACTAATAAAGTTATATTAAATATTCAAATGCCATTTACTATTACAATAAAAATTCAAATATTTTACTAAATTCAAAATATGAGTTTCCATTTAAAAAAACAAAGTTGACACCCCTCGAAGGCATAAGGGATGAACTTAAAAAGTATTACATAGTTAATAGCTCAAGAGAAATGTGTAACTAAAGTTAATCAAAAAGAAAAATGTGTTAAATTATATTTATTTTGTATGTAATTGAATTGGTTATGATAAAAAAATCACTTTGTATATTTCATTATTGAATGAATTACTAAATTGATAGCATAGTTAATTGCTTAGGAATTTTTTATGTATAGCTAAGTTAATTTTTTGAAAATAGCCAAGGTCAAATACATTTTGGTTAATTTATTTATTGAAAAATATTTATACTAGAAATGGATTACATTAGGCATAGCTAGATCTTATAAAAAGCCTAATACAATCTAGGCTATTACCCGCATCTTCCTTCCATATTATTTTTTTAAGGTATTCGACCGACTACGAAAAGAAAATCCAGATTTCATGAGCAAGATAAAAGTTTTTAACGGAGATTTACAAAACCCGTTATTAAATTTATCTCAAATTAATCTGGATTGGATAGTGACTAATGTCAATTTCATTTTTCATTGTGCTGCTACATTGAATTTTGATGAACCTATAAAAAAAGCAACACAAATTAACGTGGAAGGAACGGAACAGCTATTGAATATTGCCACTCAAATGAAAAATTTAAAAGTAGTTATACTTAATATTAAAAACAATTCATTTTTCATTACTAATGCATTAAAAATTGTTGATTATTTTACATTGAATAAAAAAATAAACAATGATAATTATTTTTTTAAGGGGTTTATTCACGTATCTACTGCATATTCACACTGTCCAAGACAAAAAATTGATGAAGAATTTTATCCCATGGAAATAACCACAGAAGATTTAAAACTCCATGTAAAAAATAGTAACAAAGAAATTGAGTAGGTCTTTTTTGAATATAATTTCATTAATACTCAATGCAAATAAACATAGTAATAATTCATAAAGAAATCATAATTTTTTTAATTTAATTTAATTTTATAATTTTATAATTTTTTGCATTATTCATTATCAGAATACAGAAATTTTGGCCCAACACATACACATTTACAAAAGCAATAACTGAAAATTTGGTTAAAACTTATAGTGAAAGACTCCCTGTAGGAATTTTCCGTCCATCAATCGGTAAGACAAGAAATTTGATTAGATTAATTACATTATTTATTAACCATTTTGAATATAATGAACCATCAATGAATAATTGGTAGAATAGCCGAAACTATTGTTTCTGTTACATTATTCAAACTAATCATTCATGAATGTAACAATGAAATGTTCACACCGACAAAATGAAATAGAAGTCACGTTAGCTTACTAATTATGAAATTAGTTCATTGGTTTAAACGGACGCTTCTCGTGTCTCTCTTGACATCAGCCGTCCAGCTATTAATGTGACAGTCGGTGATCATCCTCCTTGACACCATGACAAAGCCATACACCGCCGCCGATTATATGAATTGCAGATTATGCGTTCCTATTTCTTTTGACGATCAATTTGGCCATTACGATTATTTTTGACTATCTTGTTTCATTATGTGCATTACCTAAGCGATCCAGGTTTCTTCTATCGCTATTATTTTACTTTAATTAAAACTCATAGTGTGTTCGAGCTGTGCATATATTTAATGAATATAAATATAAATGTTATTTATATTCATATTTATAATATGCTTAATAAAACAATGTGTGGTTAAATAAAAGGGCTATTTTTTTTTGTTTTTAATTGTATTGTAAAATAATGAGTATGTTATTCATTGAGTATGTGTCAAATATCGATTTGAAAATTAGAAAATCATTGAATATGAAATACTATACGAAAATCATCAAATTAATGAATCAACTAAGCAAAATAACTGTGTTGTAATCGAATTTATAATTTTTGTTTTTTTGATATTTAAATCAAATGTTGTGATAAATAAATTAATTTAATCTAGTCTCAATTTATTATATAAACAAATTAATCAGTTGTTTCATACAAATATTGTATTTATGATTTTTAAGTAAAAAAACTAAGGTGGATGGCTCCATTTTGGATGAATGCGGGGACAACAGGTGAGAGGAAATAAAGTAGAAACATTAGAAACGGAGAAGGCCTAGTGTTTGATACCAGACGGACCAAAAATCATAGAAAGTACGAAAAAGTAGTTCAAAGTATGTCAGAAGAGCGAAAGGAGAAAATATTGAATGGAGTATAAACGCTTGTGCAAATAAGTCTAGTGTGCAGTAAGTAAGGCGAAAAAGAAATCTATAGACTTTCAATAGTAAGAGAAAATGGTCTAAAGATTATCATTATGTAAGGTGTATAAAAAGTTAAAAAGTGGGTGTTAATGAGTGATGACGATGTGAAAATAAAGATGAAAGAGTATTTTGAAAATTTACTGAATGAGGAGTATCCAAAAGAGACATTAAAAGATATCTAGTAAAAAAATGTGTTCTGGTAGATTTAATTAGTGAGAAAGAGGCTGTGGCTTTAATGGAAAAGAATAAAGTATTAGAACCAGATGAAATTCTATTAGAAGTATGAAAAATATTAGGCAGTGGTAGCATAAGGGTCGAAAAATGAAGGAATATTATTGTGGTGCCGATATTTAAAAGTAAAGAAAATATATAAGAGTGTGGAAATTATAGAGGCATAAAGTATATGATTTATAGTATGAAGATTTGGAAAAAGATAATAGATAAGAGAATAAGAAATGAAACATCGGTATCGATATTAAAGTTTGGATTTATGTCTGGTAAGTCAACAATGGAGTCATTATTTTATATGAAACAACTAATAGAAAAGTATAATGAAAAGAAGAAAAAGCTGTGTATGGTATTTATAGATTTAGATAAAATATATGATAGAGGTTTTAAAGTGGTTATTAATAAGAAAAAGAATCATAAAAAATTACATTAATCTATTAAAGGATATGTATGATGGCACTTATACAATGGTTAAAGTGTGAGCAAAGAAACAGAAGATTTTAGGAGTGCACCAAGATTCTGCTTTATATCCTTACTTATTTTCTATAGTGATGGATGAAATTACTAAAGAAATACAAGGAGAAGGGGCCGTGGTGCATGTGTTTGCTGACGATATAGTATTAATAAGAAATAATAGGGAGAAAATTAATCAAAGGCTAGAGGTGTGGAGATAAGCTCTTGAAAGAAAGGAATTAAGAATAAGTAGGAGTAAGACAGAGTATATAGAGTACGAGTTTGACAGAGGAGAATACGAGGTATGTCAAAAGAGGAGATCAGTGACAATGAGCGAGAACATAATAGGAGAGGTGAAAAGTTATATGTATTTAAGATAAGTTGTGCAAATGAACGGTGATATTGACGAGGATTTAGTCACAGGTTTAAGTTCTAATAAGGCTATAGTGAGACCGGCTATGATGTATGATTCAGTGTGTTGGGCGGTTGTCCAGAGAATAGAGTAGAAATAAGAATACGTAGATGAGTGGAGTGACTAGAGAAGATAAGATAAGGAACGAACGTATAAGAAGGAGTATAGGCGTCCATCATGGATAAGATGAGAGAAAATAGGCTTAGATAAATAGAAAATAGATTTAGATGGTATGGTCATGTTACGAGGAAAGAAGAATCGGAAGATGTAAAGATATGAGATATCTTATAGAGATGAATATTGAAGGCAGAAGAGATAGTGTTAGTGCTGATAAGTATATTACAATAGTGATATTGAATCACAGGTGTTACTTACATTTTTTTATTACATTAATAATTTATGATTAAATTATAATAATAAAATTTTATGATACTTTAATTTGTAAAGTATATATGCATACTTTACAATGTAAAGTATGTAAAGTAATATGTAAAGATTACATATTACTTCATTAGCTAATGATATAATAATTAATAAATAATCAAACAGATAATTAAGGTTACACTTTTAAAACTTTTAGAATAAATATTATTTTTTTATAGCAATAAATGATTTTTTTTTTTATAAAATTCAACATTTTATTGATTTGTATAACTTATGTTATGTACACGCATAGTATTTTAAAATACAATTTATGACACTCCTTAGTACATTAATATTTTTAATTTATAATAACATAAAAACATTTTAGTGGGGAGCACTTTTAAAGAACCTATTCCAGGCTACTTAGAAAATATGAATGGCCCATCAGGCATAACAGCAGGTTTAGTTATAGGTTTTCTTAGAGCTTTTCCATGCAAATTAAATAATGTGGCCGATCTAATACCAGCAGACTACACGGTAAACGCTTTGATAACATCTATGTGGGATACAGCTAATAGGTATAATATACTTTAATTGTAAGCATTTGTTTGTTTAATTGTTTTAATTACGACTAAGTATGTTCATATGACAGTGTGATGAATCAAGAATAATTATCGATTCATTTGAGTATATATGAACTAATTTTTATTGATTTTTTTTTAACATAACATTCTGAGTTACTTCACTGATGTAATAATTAACTCAAAATCACATATTATTGTACATATTTTTAATATTTTATAGATATCAAAACTCGGTCTCAGATAAGCCAAAAATATACAATTATGTTTCATCAACCGTTAGTCCATTAACTTGGGAGCGCCTTTTGAGTGAGATAAAACAAAATTATTACACAGCTCCTCCAAATTATGCTTTTTGGTACGGGATTTTCTATACCTATGACAATGAATGGCTGGGAAAATTTTTATGGTTCTTTTTACATTGGATACCAGGAATCATATTTGATTGTATGCTCTTATTAGCTGGAAAAAGTATGAGGTATTAAGATTTCATTTTATGCACCACTTAATTTACTCAGTAATATACCATTTTATTACTGTGTTAGTCAGGTATAATTATAGAAGTAAATTTTAAATAGATGTGAAGTGAATTTTGCTGATAAGTACATTCCTGATTGAAAAAGTTTTAGTATTATAGTATTATATACTATTTTATAGTCTTATAAAATTATATTAATTGTTTATACTCGATCATCGTATACTCTCAATTGTTAATTCCAAAACTCACACATGAACTATGAAAACTTTATGTTCAGTTGTATATAAATCATGAAAGGCTCTAACTTTAAAATTGACATAATAAGGAGGATAAATATTTTATAACACATTACAATTCGAGGGTTAAAGGTTTTGAAGCGCGTCCCCTAACACAGAGGTATGTGTAAATATATAGTTTTTTGTTTTTTAATTTAATTTTGAATTTGATTAAACACCAGATATAAAAAAAATATTTCTTTTTGTATCAGGACTTGAAATTAAAAAAATTTTTAATGTACTCAAATATTTTTATTAACATAAAACATCTTGATAAACATATAAACACTATCAATGGGAAGAATGCATTTGTTTCTTAAACTTTATAATGTCCGAAGTATTAGGAACAATTGTTGAAATTTTTAACCTCAATGCTGTTTCAACGTTCTTCAGTCGATTTCTCTTGACACTTTTTATGTTACTAAGTGTAGAAAATGTCTGTTCACACAAATAAGTTGTACAAAAAGGCACAAGTTGTTTGAGGCCTTTGTTTGCTAAATCTGTGAATTCCGACCGGGCAAGAAACCAAAAATGACATAAATCATTTTCTTCTTTGAAGATTATTTCCCAAGCTCTACTGCAAGACAAATCTACCAGTTTATCTTATTCATTTTCAGAGAGGATAGTAAGGCTGGTAACATCTTGTTGTTTGAAAGGGTGGCTCATCCAGTCACTGTTTTTATCTGGTGCAGGAAAATACTTTCTCAAAGCACTCGCTAAGTCTGTCATATGTTCGACAATCATGTCTTGAATCTCAACAGGTAGATTGTCTTTTGATTTGGTTAGAAATTGTTGTAACACAGGATGATTAGATGATGCTTGATGTGTAAGACTTTCTTTCAACTCTATTTACCCACAGCTTTAGTTTTTCAATCATTGCTTCGATTTTGTCTTCTACTACGAATATGTTAGTATCAGGTCCTTGCAGCTTTAAGTTCAAAACATTCAAATGTGTAAATAAATCTGTCAAGTACGCAATTTTGCAGAGCCACGAAAAGTTATTCAGTTTTTCTCTTAAGATGAACTTTTTGTGTGTACCATCACAAAGCAATATTCTTACTTCATCAGCTAGTTCGAAAAAACGTGTAAGAACGTTTCCTCGAGAAAGCCGGCGAATCTCTGTGTGTAAAAATAGCTGTTCGTGTTCACTTCCCATTTCCTGACTTAGCTTGGTAAAAATGCGAGAGTTCAAGGGTCGAGACTTAATGTAGTTGACAATTTTGACGAGTTCGTCAAATACAGTTTTAAGCTCAGTTGACATTTTCTTCACTGCCAGAGCCTCTCTATGTATTGAACAGTGTGTCCACTTGACGTTTCGTGCTACTTGCATCACCCGAGCCATCAATCCAGTTTTATGACCCGCCATCGCTCCAGCTCTATCAGTAGTTAACTCTACACATTTATTCCAATCTAGTTCATTTTTTAAAATACAATCATTAAGAACTTCAAATACATCATTTGCATTGTTATGTATTACTTCTTTGCAAAATAACAGATCTTCAATGACTGCAATATTTTTCGTGTTCGTAACGGACAAAAGCTAGCAAGTGAGATTTATCAATAAAATCTGTACTCTCATCTAGTTGTAATGCGAATATTTCCGTAGATTTCAAACGTGAAATTAATTGGGAGTGCACATTTTCAGACATATCGTCAACCCTTCTCTTAACTGTATCGTTTGATAATGAAATCAAACTTATTTCTTTGGCTGCAGTTTCATCTAACATTATGCTGTACATACTTTTTGCAGCAGACATGATAAGCTCCTCTCCTATGTTATAAGGCTTTCCCGACTTAGCAATCAACAGAGAAACAGCATATGATGCAATGGTTGAGTTTTCATTTGTAGTGCCAGTTGCAATTTTTTCAATTTTATTTTTTGACTTTTTCATTTCATTACTTTTTATTTTAAAATATTCTATTGACTTACCAGGAAACTCGGAGTGTTTTGTTTCTAAATGCCTAAGCAACTTAGCAGGTTTCATTGCTTCATTGGAAAGTATTTTGTTACACAAAACACATTGCGGTTTTTGTTCAATGTCTGTACCCGCTTGCACAAAACCCAGGTTTAAATATTCATCACAATATTTGCGTTTTTTGGCTTTATTGACACTAGCACTAGACTTTGAGCAAGACGGCTTGTCAAGGTTAGGTGGGACAAAGGCTTGTCTGCCACCTCCATTAGATTCAATCGACACTTTAGTTGCACGTACAGTACCCGTCTTTAACCAACAATCCATAGCTAATTTCTAAAGACCAACACTCAATTTTTTATTATTATATTGTAAATTTACCATATTATAATATACCAGGTAGGACATAAGTCATTATGTTAGGGCCTAACATATACTAACCTTATACAATTTTCCCTATAGTATCTATTATGAATGACATCACAGTTCTTTTTTTAAATTATTAAAAAAAAATAAAAAAGAATAAATATTATAGTCGACTTTTAAAAAAATATTTTTTTATTATTTAGGCCTCGAACCTAAATTATTTTATTTGCGAATTTGTATCGAATTTGGAATTTGATTCCAGTTTTTTTTCTAACTATAGTTTTTTATTTAGCTTTTCTGTACATTACAATTTCCATTATAAGAAATTAAATTTAACCCCATAGATTTTATTTCACTGGAAAAAATCATCTTCATATAATTACAGAATAAAATTTTTATCAACTTAGCAGAATGTAAATAATTAAAATTATTAATTATTAATTTTTTTTTTCAAAAATTAGATTTTGCAAAATGTATACAAAAGCAAACAAAATGATGAAAGCTTTAGGTCCATTTTCAATATCACAATGGAAATTTAAAAACAAAAATACACAAAAAATATGGTCTTTACTAAGCGAAGAAGACCAAAAGTTATTTTTTTTCAATATGGAACATTTTGACTGGAGTTCATTTATACAAACCTTTTATTTTGGAGTAAGAAGTAATATTTTACACGAAAATAAACACAATATTCCGGATGCATTGAAAAAACATAAGAGGTATGTTTTATTTCTTAACAAAATATAAAAATTATAACACATAACAAAACCACAACTGGTTGTAGTAGCTCTGTATACTTATCAATGAAAATAACATTAATTTAAAATTACAATAAACTATAACATAATTTCTAAAAATTATCGTTTTAACTCATTTCATTATTATAAGAATGGCTGAGACTTATTGTTTACATTTTTGTTATCAAAATACTCGCTTTTACATTTTACTATATATGGTGATCTGTTTATCTTAACCCACTAAAGTAATTACAAAATATAAATAAGTCATTATTAACCATCATTTTCTTAATAAAATGATTTCTTATAATGTAAGCTATTTAAATATCTATCTTCTCATTTAAAATAATGAAAATAATATAATAGTTTATTACTTACACAATATATACTTTTAAAAATGTCGTAAAAACCTACACATGAACTTAATTATTTACCAAACGTGTGGTGAATATTCAAATTCTATAACTAAAGACCTCGAATATTTATAAAACACACATTTTTACATCATTTTATAAATTAGAAACTTCTTTATGCATATGCGCTAAAAATAGATATGTCTAATAATTTGCTAAGGAGTTATTACAAAAAATATATTTGTTTTTTAAAAAAATACAGTTTTTGTCTCTTCTGAAATCTAAACACATCTCGTTTTACGCTAAAATGTTTTTCTATAATTATTCCAAATTTTTAATGTTACAAGGAGGCGGATATTACTTTTCTCCTTTTGCTTAATCATATTTTTTTTACTCTGAATCACCATTGATTTTTTTTTTCAGATTATATTATCTACATATGTTTACGTTGTTCCTATTGACTTATGTATTTTATTTTTTGGTGAGTACAACTTTTGGACTTAATTTTTTTGGATTTTAGTTACCATAACTATAGCTACGATGTAATTTCAGCAATACAATTGTAATATATAAAAATACGTTGAATTTTAGTTTAATAATTTTTAGTTAATTTATAATTTAATGAACATAAATTGTTAAAATAAAAATTTAATAAAATCAAAAATTTTAAAACCTGCCTTTTATTTATTATTAAAATAACATTTTATATATTTCTAAGACTTGAGAAAAATTAATTTAAGAGTCTAAGATTGTTTTCTTATTTTACATCATGTGAATTTAATGAAAAGAATATAATATAATATAAATATAATTTATGGATAGATATATATCATATAAACAACTAAAATATTTTCAGACTAAAGAAATAATTATTTCAGCTCTTTTAACTTTTTTTTTTTTTTATATATACAATATAATTATTCTATTAACCCTACTATAGTGTTAAATTCTTAAATGCACAAACCCCCTTAGTGTTGGTACTATTAACCGTTTTACTTAATTATTCTTCGTCTTTATCCAGACTACTTGTGGTTGGCCACCTTTATCCTAAACTTCTATTTAACTTTTACTTTATTACTGTGTAATATTAAATAATATAAATGATTAATGTTACCTCGATGTGTATATGTAATTATTTATTACAGTGTTTAAGAGTTATATTTAAGTATTAATTACTGTATACTAGAGCATTATTAAATATCAGTTGTACAAAAACACTCTTCCTTTCAAATATTGTCTTAATATGCCCAATACTTTGCACTGTTAATAAATGTTCAATTTATCTGTCATGAAATTTACACTGTTGTACACTAGTAATTATATAAGTATAAACGTGTTATATTGTTCATTTTAAACTATGTATTTTATCATATAATAAGTATCATTGTATGTTTAATTTAATACAATAATCTGAATTATTAATAATATACAAAAGCTTAGTTCTATTTGCACATCTTTTATCAATTCCACAACTTCCTATTACTAGCCGCAACCCCATGTGGTCATTGATCATTTTATGTCGATACTTGGTCAAGTGTCAGGGTATTCGATTTACCAAAGTTGTTTTTGGTGTGGTGGACGGCTGTTTTTATGACTGTGAATGCACTATATTGATTATGGGAGCCAGGTGTGGGTGAATTTTGTGATGCAACTGCATTTATGTGTGTGGGTGTGCGATGATGGGTAAATGGGTGCGGGAGGTACTCATAACCTAAAACACCATATGTTTGGTCTAGAGGATTCACTTGCACTTCACTATCATTATTTTGTACTATAGAGTTATTCTCGGACTTATCTACTGTACCAATCGGATCTGANTACTATAGAGTTATTCTCGGACTTATCTACTGTACCAACCGGATCTGATCAGTGACCAACCCAACCGTCTCTGATGCTATAATAGAAAAATCTGCTGGAATATGAGGCCGAGTAGTAGGAAAATGGTGGCTGGGTTGTTCCTTTTCGCCTTAACTAAGCCCTCAAAAATATAAAATAGGTCGTTACGGGTAGCGGTAAAAGGAATAAACCCTGGAAACACATTCGTGCTTTATCTCGGTGAGAGACATTTTATCTAAGGAATTTGCCATTTCCGGATTTAGCTTATTTAAAAGTGATGCAAAGAAAAAGAAAAAAAAAATATTCGGAAATTAATAGAGAAAAAGAAAAAAAATATGCGAAATGATATGTATTTAAAGGAGTAGTTATTGGTAGCGGATATATTTATTCATATATTTATGTATAAATTCAATACAATCGCAATGTCTATTAAATAAAGGGGAAAGCTGATAGAAAATAGAAAAAACTGAACACTAAAATATTTATTTAATAAGAGAGATAAAATAGAATTTTTTTTTAGAAAAGAAGGGGAAAGAATAAGAGAAAAAATTATAAACTAAATTAAAATTAACTAAATTTTTAAAAAGAAAGTAATAAGTGATTAAGATTTAAAAAAAAAGAAATGTGTGTATGTTTTATATATTTATGTGATTTTTTAAAATTAAAAGTAGTGAAAAAAGTTAAATACAAATTATTTTTATAAACTCAACGCTGTCATTATCTTTTATAATTGATTCTTCTTTTTTTAATTTTGTTTGTAAACTAAATTTATTTGATTGTAAATGAAGAAAAACTTTTCATTTTACACAGTCAATATACGTTGTGTTAATAATACTCGATTTATTTATTAAACTATTGTTAGCTTTTATATGTTTTTTGGTAAAAACAAAAAAAAATAATATATAAATTGATCGAAATCTGTTGAGACACTTATTTTCTCAGAAACTTTTGAGAATTTCAAATTTTTTTAAAGAGATAAAATATCAAGTTCAAAAATCTCTACCTTAATATGTAGTCAAATCATTATTATTTTCGTTCTTTCAGGTATAATAACCCTTATTTTTAATTTTATAATATGATAGAAAAAAAAATTACAAACAACTTAGTTAGTACAATTTTTTTTTTCAATTAACCGTTCGTCCGTTACAGTTTGTTAAAGTTGAGTGATTTTAGTCCAATTTTCTATTGTTATTTTACTGTATTAAATATAGAAGTCATTATTTTTGTTTGCTGTTGCAAAAACCAAATTTTATTGATTAAGTTATGACAGGTAAATTAACTATAATAATCTACGACGCACTAAATGAGTGATAACAATAATAGATTCAAATCGGATTTTCGGTGTGTTATTAATAGCAAAGTCTATGGGTGTGTAAAACTTACAAATAAAAATAATGACTTCTGTCATTCTGTAACAGTAATGTTTAATTACAAAATGTAACTGATCGTACTGTGTTCATTGAGAATTAGATGTATTTCACTATAAAATATATTATACGCTAATTACGTAAACAATAGTGTGTATTACTATGACAAACGAACTTAAAATTTTAAAAATATTAGACTTATTGTTTTTATGAGGCGATCGGATACGTAGTTTTATTCGAACTTATTTTCCCCTTAAATAATTATAAATAATAATAATTAATAATAAAAGAAATTCACTAAATACCATGTTTAATTTAAGCTGTAGGATCAGTTTTTAATTCTAAATATAAAAATATTATTGAAATACTCAAAAATACACAGATAAGTACAGGTGAACATTATTGATGTGCTGATATATATTTCGGCGGAAGTAAGTCACAAGTGAACTGATTTACATAGTAGCCGACGTTTCTCGCGGTGCCCCCAGACATGTACAGACCACCGAACAAGACGAGCATAGTGTTATCTTCCCTACTGACAAGGCGACGATGGCCTGCTGCTTCACGACCGGATTCACAATTAACAAATTCACAATAAATGAATAGAGTGCTCTATTACGGGCCGTCTGACAATAGATCAATTTCATATCATAAGAAACGCTTCAATATAAATCTGTAGAAAGTGTTTAATTTTAAAAAATTGGTGGATTATTCCAATTGCAACATGATTTTCTATTTCCTTATTTATATCCTGATTACAAGTTTTATGATTTATAAGTGTAATATATGAATAAATATTTATTTTAGCAATTAAATATAGTACACCCAAAGAAAAACCTCAATCAATTTTGATAGAGAAATTTTATCAAGGGTTTATGATAATGTTTTATTAATACGAACAAAATAATTATTCTTATAAATAATTATTGTTCAAGACAAGAAAAAAAACTATCATATTGATAAATATATCATAGTTTCAATAGTAATGATATATTTATCAAATTGAACAATGAATTTATTATATAGATCGAGGTTTTTCTCTGGGTGTATGTAATGTTTAATAATTTAGTATTGTAAATTTTACAAAGAAATTATAAAAAAAATATAAAGTGGTTATTACTTTTATGGCAAACGTATATAAAAGTTGAAGGTCTTGATGCAATACTTAAAAAAAAAAAATTGTATTATTTATAAATAAATTTACTGGTCTACAAGGAATTCGAGACCAAAATATACAGTTCAAACGCATTTTTGTACCTATTTCAAATCTGCAATTAAAGTTTCGCATGTTGACTAAATAATAATAAAATCCTTCTAATTAATATAAAAAGTACGTAATAAGCAGAATGTATTATGGGCAATATATCACTATGAATAATTATTTTAACACCAACAGTTGCATAGAGTTGCTTAGTTGCTTACTATGACTTCTATTTAAATTATTTATTACAATAAAACCTTTTTATCTAAATTTTGAGTTTCTCATATAAATTACTGTTAATAGTAATTATATAAAAACGAATTTTATACTCCTATTAATTTTGATACATTTATTATAAAAAGTTTTTTTGAAATGGTAATTTTTTATAATAGCGTAATTTTGAGATATTTGTCTAAATTTGAGACAAGTATCTCAAATAATTGAGTAGAAAAGCTCAATATTTTTTTTTGCATTTTTATCGTAAAAATACGTCAAGATCTGAGAAAATAAATGACGTCCCCAAAAAGAAACCACATAGTAAAATCATTTTAATATGAATAAGAAATTTATTCTCATGTAGGGAGACTATAGTAATCAGATCCTTGATCATTATTGAAGTTATTAAATAACTTATATGTCATATAGGTTAAATTTTAACCTATATGAGATAAAAATCAAATGAATCGTACATTTTTTTCTAACTCAATAAGAATTAAGAAAAAATGCAAAAAGTTCCTTGCCACAAGCTGGTTGAAACCTTGAACCCCAACATGTAAGACCCAAATGTTACCGACTCGGCAAACGTAAGTTATGGCAGTTTTAAGTAAAAATAAAATGTTGAAAATTAGTAATTTTTAAATTTATGTTTTGGGGAATTTACCCCGCTTACGGGGAACAAGGGAATTTTTTTCTATTTTTAAGGGTAATGCCTTCGACTAAATACGATTTGTGATCTTTTGACATACTGTTCGTCTAAATCTGTCTAGCGAGATTGAGCGTTCACAGACACAAAAAAAAAATAAAAAAAAACACATTATAGTAAAATCAATACCTTCTCAGCTTCGCATCGAAGCTAAAAAACAAACAAAACCGAAAAGACGAACACAGTAATAATAATCTTCGCATAACATCGCCGCATCTTCGCTGGCTTCGGCGACGCAGAATCCGACAAAATCCTCGGGCGTCAAAAAGTTAGCTGCGTTGATGGCGATTTTATGCGGGTGCGGATCCGTCCGTCGAGTCCGGAGCTGGTGTCGTACATCCTCGACGTTGACACTTTAACAACAGGAAGAAGACTCGACGTATCATTTGCTATTGATGGGAAAAAATAACAGTAACAGTGATTTATTACAGTTACTGCTTGAGTAGCAATAACAAGCTGTTGCTTGAAAGAAATAGTAACAGTTACTGTTATTTTGTGTTTTACACGAGGTCATCAATATTCATCAGTCTTTTAACATATAAAAAAATTACATCACTATTATTTCGAAAATAACAATAACAGTTATCAAAATTAATAACAAGTTGCCATCACAAGTGACATTTGCGGCGGGTCGTCGTCGGCCGTGCGGCATTTGCTGGACTTTACATCGTGGCGTATGGGGCACGCGATGTTGATCAGTCAAATACTTATAGTAAGGTGACGGCTGATAAATGTGGCACGAGTGGCGGGACATAGTCTATCACGAAGAGACGCGGAGCCATGTCATATTTTAATACGAATAAGAAAGTCCTTCTCACAAGGGCAGACTAAAGTGATAGGATCCTAAATAATTATTGAATAATTTGATTAAATGTTATTTATTATTATTCATTTAAAATTTTATTTTCCACCTCAAAAAAGAATTAAGAAAAAATGCAAAAGAGTTATTTTGACTGGCAGGGTTCGAATATTTTTTGTTCACGCAAACAAAATGCAGACAACAAAATTCGTATTTCCGGAACATTTTCAATATTCTTAATATTAATTTCTACCGTACTTGGTAACATTACTAAAAAGCTTCATATAAATTTTTTTTTTAATGTTAAAAATTTTTAGTAT